ATGAACACAGGCCATCTACTCATTTTCTTCACTGCGCACCTGGCATTGGGATTGGTGACTTGGATGGCTAGCTGGGCTGCTCTTTCCATGATGGCCTTGCAGGTCTTAGAGGAGATGTTGTGAGCAATCTCTGCACAGTAATACTTGTTGCACATCAGCAGCACCTCCAGCTCCTTAACATTGTGCACCAGGAACTTCCAGAAGCCACTGGGCAGCATGTGCTTTGTCTTTTTGTTACTTCCATAACCAATGTTGGGCATCAAGATCTGGCCCTTGAACCTCCTCCGTACCCTGTTGTCGATGCCTCTGGGTTCCCACCAGTTGTGCTTAATTTTGACATATCAGTCTGATTGGTGCCGGATGAACTTCTTGGTCCTCTTTTTTGATGATCTTGGGCTTCACGAGGAGTCTGCGGGCCGCCATGGTGCCAAGAGGGAGATGGCTGCCACCTCCGTAGGCAGCACCGAGGAAGAGCTATTTTTGTTTTTTTGAGACATGGTCTTCCTATGTAGTTCGTTGGGACTTGAACTCACTACATAGTCCAGGCTGGCCTCAAAACTCAGGCCTCAGTCTCCTGAGTTGTGGTATTACAGACATGTACTACAATGCCTGGTTTTTGCCTGAAATTTTGTCCTCCTCCTCTTCCTCTCCCTTCTTCATACAGGGTTTCACTACACAGCTTGGACTCATAGTGATCCTCCTATTTGCAGCCTCTCAAATGCTGGGATTACAGTCATGTGCCAACATGCGGGGACTCAGTCTCGGGTTCAGTGCACCGTGGGGTTGGGGCTGGTGTAGCAGTGCCACAGCATGCGCTTCATCTGCTGAGCTATGTTAACAGTCCTTGCCAGAGATTTTAAATTCATTGTTTGACAAGTAAATTTAATAGGTGGTGCTATATATTCAGAACCTTGCATATGCTAGGACAGCAGTCTATGGCTGAGCTATATCCTCAGCCTTTTTAAAATTTTACTCAGTGAAAGGGTCTTGCTAAATTGCCCAGGCTGGCCTAGAATTTGCAGTCTCTATCACCCCATACCTTAGTCTCTGCAGTGTCTGGGATTATAGGCATTTACTACTATGCCTAGCCAATTACCTCTGTGTGTGTGTGTGTGTGTGTGTGTGTGTGTGTGTGTGTGTGTGTGTATGTGACTAGAGATGGAACCCAGGGCCTCCACAGGGTCTTACCAAGTTGCTCAATTGTCCAGGTTGGGCAGTCTCCTTCCCTCACCCTGCCAGTATTGAGGCATATTCTTATTATAGACTTTTAAATTGGTATGTTTGCTTTATTGTCCTCTGGCTTTCTTTTTTATAATGTATTGTCAGCTGTGAGGCCACTTGGCTGTTTGAAAGCCATCTGTCCCCTCATAAAACACATTCCTGCTCCCTGGGTGCTTTGAGATTTTTGTTTTTAGGTGTTTTTTTTTTTTATGTGCAGGATCTCACTACACAGCTTGGACTTATAGTGATCCTCGTGTTTTCTGCCTGCCTAGTGCTGGGATTACAGGCGTGCGCTACCACGCCTGGACTCTATCGCTGGTTCTGTGCACCTGGGGGCAGGACAGCATGGCATGTGGTGCCAGGGATCAAACCCTGGCCCCTAAGCAAGCGCTTAGTCTGCTGAGCTATCTCACCGGCCCTTGTTTTTAGTTTCTATCAGACATACTATGATACATCTAGATGTGATTTTCTTTATTTTTATCCTACTTATAGTGCTTCTTGAATGTATAGATTGGGATCCTTTGCCAGTATTGGAAAATTTTCAGCTACGTGACATTTTTTCTTCTTCCCCATTCTCATTTCCTCTCCTCAGATCACACACACACACACACACCCCTACGTCTGTCTCAGTATGTAGATTGAACTCGTAGTGATCTGCCTGTGGTCAGCCTCCCAAGAGCTGGGATTACAGGTGCACACCCATGCCCAGTCTCAGTTGCTGTCTCAGTGTGCCAAGCAGGTGCTTTAGTCCACTGATCTATCTGGCTGGCCCTTCCGGTGTCATATTAGATCTTTTAGATTTTTCTTGACTTTAGTTTTTCATCCCTTTGTCATTCTATGTTTAAAAGGAATATGTTTTTTCTTTATTACTTGTTAAATTTTTTTATTGTCTAATCAGCTATCAATCCCATTCCTTTTTTTTTATTAGTTTGCAGTCATATTTTATTGGTACATTTTAGGTATATATCATGATCACATTCATCACAGGAGAATTTAGGGCCAGGAATATAGCTCAGTGGCATAAGCACCTGCCTGGCGAGCACAAGGTCCTGAGTTCAGTTTCTGGTTTAGAAAAAAAATCATCGGGCATTATAGAGAATTTGTACCTGTACATTGTATAACTTGATTATTTTTTTCCCCATTCCCTTGCCCTCCCCTCACCTTCTCCTCCTCTCTCCATTTACAAAGCTTTGCTTCCATTTTTCCTTTTCTCATTTTTTCCCTTTCTTTCCTTTTCCCTTCTTTTTTTCTCTAGTTCTGTTTCATTTGAACATTTTTTTCTATTTCACAATATCTTTTCTAAACTCTTTTTTTTTTTTTTTTTGTGGAACCAGGGATTGAACTCAGACCCTTGCGCTTGCCAGGGAAGTGTTTATTCCACTGAGCCATCTCCCCGGCCCCACAATATCTTTTGTACATTTTTGTCTTTATATATTTTTGGTTCTCACACCAGAGAAGCAATGCAGTATTTACACATGTGTGTCTGATGTCTCAAGGTGCATCTATTTACCTGAAAATATTTCAGGTTTATCTTTTTTTTTATGGAAGAGCAGTACTACTCCGTTTTACAAAAAACCTTGCATTGTCTTTATCCATGCATTGATTGATGGGCATTTGAGCTGTTTCCAAGATGGGACTATTACAGACTGTGCCACTATAAATGTGGGTGCGCTTATATCACCGCGTAAGGATGTTTTTAATTTTTCTAGGAAGATACCAAAAAGGGGAACAGCTAGGTTGAATGGAACCTCTAGTCCCAGATTTTTGAGGCATCTCCACATTGTCAATCACATTCTTTTTTTGGGGGGGGCAGAACTGGGGATTGAACTCAGGCCCTTGCGCTTGCCAGGGAAATGCTTATTCCACTGAGCCATCTCCCCGGCCCCATCAATCGCATTCATTTTTTTTTTTTTTCAATCACATTCTTATAACAATTTTTTTTTCCTCTTGGTACTAAGGATTGAACTCGGCACCTTGCACATGCCATTCGGCACTTATGCCACTGAGCTGTCTCCCTGGCTCTTCAATCCCATTCTTGAATCTCTTAATTATTACATTTTCAGTTCTGTTATTTGTTTGGTTCATTATTAAAGTTCTCAGCTTGACATAGTGAAACATGCCTGTAGTCTTAGTGTGTGGAAGGCTGAGGCAGGATTGCTGCACATTTGAGGCTAACCTGCCAACATGGTGAATTCCATCAGGCTGAAATACATAGTGAGACTTTCTTAAGAAAAAAAAAAAGTTCTCTGCCAAAATATTTCAGCTTTTCATTGTCATTATTTCATTTATTTCAGTTGCTTTAAAATATGTTTCTGATATTCTTCTACTTGGCTGTCCTTTGGGGTGTCTGTTTCTAATGTCAGTTTCTACCAAACGTTTTTGATCATTTGTTGTTTCCTTGCATGTCTGCTTATTTTTCTCTGAGTACTGAATTTTTTTTTTTTGTGGAACCAGGGATTGAACTCAGGCCCTTTTGCTTGCCAGGGAAGTGCTTGTTCTATTGAGCCATCTCCCTGGCTCCTGAGTACTGGAAATTTAATGTGAAAAATGGAGATAGTCTACAACTCCAAGTGATTGTTGTAGGAACTTAGAACACCCACGTGAGATTTTTGTAAGTTGTATTGTAAGACTATATAGGTGTGGCAGAAGTACTGAGCTGGTTAGAGTTGGCAGAATTGTCTAGGTCTATTGGAGAGGAATTGAGGGAAATAAAAAAAAAAAAAGAAAAAGAAAAGCTCCAAAAATAAGAAAGGGAGAAACTATCAGACAAGCAGTTGGCATCAAAAAAAGAGATGGTAGACTGTAAGCATAAAACTAAAAATAATAAGCAGCAAATGCTCCATGGAAAATAATTGGTGTGGTGCTCTTTGAGTACAGATTAGGCGTGAGTCACTTATGGTGGGTAAGGATGTTGCGTGAGGTAGGAACAGGTTGAGTTCTGAGGAAGTAAACATTTAGTAAGTAGTGAAGAGCACCAAGGGAATTTCAGGGCACACTGTACTTTGCAAGTTCTATTGTTTTTCCTATTTCCTTTCTAATTATTTTTAACCTCAGTCTAAAAGTGTTCAGCAGTCAGGGAGTGGGGTGAGAAGCAGCAGCCATGCTGCTGCCACAGGTGCCACACACCCTGCTGGGTGTACAGTTGGTGAGCAGCACAGCTCTTGAGTGCAGGGCAGTTTCTAGAACTCTGGGGCGCATTAATCTGTGCTGATTATTAATCTGTGCAATTATTATTAATCTGCCTCACAGGTTTTTTTTTTTTTTTTTGGTAAAGATTTAATAGAATGTGTGGAATAGTAATCGTCTTTTAAAAATAATTACAAATATAGGATGGTTAATAATCACATGCTGGAAGAGAATTGAATAATTTGTAGTTACACCAGAGGAAAAAATTTAAAATCAGTACTGTACTACATACACGTTTAATTTATATAACTTGAGTTAAGGACAATTTCTATATGAACTTGAGCATGTCAGTATCAGAAGTTAATATTTTGTTTTCTAGCTTGAGGGTTTATTCATACATTTTCATTATCTTTGAGAAAATTTCTTTTTTGAAAAGCAAATCAAATATAAAAATAAGTTAATAGTCATATATAAGTTTAATATTTTGCTTTCTATTTTGACTATAGTAAAATTTACATTGTAGATGTGGGATATTATATATCATTTGATCTGTAATAAAATTAACATAATTCAATACTAAAGGAACAGTGTAATTCATAAGGAAAACATACTAAAAATTTAAAACTAAAGTATAAAATTGTTTCTGTCTCTAGGCAAAATTTGGCTTCTCTGATATTACGGGAATTGATTATTCTCCTTCTGCAATTCAGCTTTCTGGAAGCATTATAGAGAAAGAAGGGTTATCAAACATTAAATTGAAGGTAACTGCTATTTAAATTACTCTAATATTTTTATTTTTAATAGAAGTTATAAAGATTAAATGTTTCTAATAAGAATTTATCTGTTGACATCTTAGAACTTATACATTAATGATCAAACATAAATAATGCAAATTGATTTGTTTTGTTTTGAGACAGTTTTGCTATGGCATTCAGTCTGGCCTTGAGCTCACTGTATAGCTCAGGCTGGCCTCAAACTCAAAACAATCCTCCTAGCTCAGCCTCCCAAGTGCTGGGATTATAAAACAATGCACATTCAAACATTTCAAAGTAATTGTATGAAAAATTTACTCAGTTTAGGGAAATTTTTTCTCTTTAGGAAATTTTTACTCTTTTTTTTTTTTGTTGGCAGAACTAGGGATGGAACTCAGGTCCTTGCGCTTGCCAGGGAAGCACTTATTCTACTGAGGTATCTCCCCGGCCCTGAAATTACTCTTCTTATATACATGTGTGTTTGTACACTATTCCCTTCAATCTTTGCAAAAACTTACAAATAATACCTAACTGTGGATTAACCAGATTAAAAGGATTGATTGATTGATTGATTGATTGATTGGAGAAGAAATTTTTTTTTTTTAATTTGGCTGGGTCAGGCTGCCTTAAGGGCGGGTCTGGTAAGCCACGTGGAGCTGGGCATCAAACCTCGGTCCCCTGTGCCTGACTGAGTTTGCTGGAGCAGGCGCTTAAACAACTGAGCTAACCTGCAAGCCCCCGATTGATTGGAGACAGGGTCTCACTATGTAGTTCAGGATGGTTTTGAACTCACAATGTAGCCCAGGCAGGTTTCAAACTCACATCCGTTCTTCTGCCTCAGCCTCCCAAGCACTAGAATATAAGTGTGTGCCACCATTTCTGGCCAGATCAAAAAGTTTTGAATGCTTAGTATGGTATAATATTGCCAAAGATCCATTTTTTGTGTGCTAGGATTGGTAAGGTAAAGACTTCTACCTTTGTATTTCTAGTCCAGCTTTCTCATCTGAGCTTTAGAATCATATAAAAGATGCCTATTATGGATTCAGTGAGGATGGTTAATATTCTCTCAAATTGATGAGTCCAAAATCAAACTTTTGGTTTCCTTCTTAAATCTGTTCTCAGTAGTCTTTCTCAACTCTGCTAATGACATCATCTTTCACACTGTTGCACTAATTTTTTTTTTTTTTTTTTTTTGCATTTTTAGGGAAGGCGCTACAGGGTGTTCAGGGTCTCACTACCTAATCGGACTGGTAGTGATCTGCCTGTTTACAGCCTCCCAAGAGCTGGGATTACAGGTACCACCATGCCCAGTCTCAATTGCTGTCTCAGCTCGCCCTAGGGGTGGGACCCCCGGCAAAGCAGGTCCGGGGAACCCCTGGCCCTTGTGCCTGCTTGCAGGCACTTTAATCTGCTGAGCTATTTGGCTGGCCCTTGTTGCACTACTTTAAGGAGTCATCCTTGATTCTTCCTTTTAAAATCCCATGTCCAAACTGGCTGTGGTTATTCCAGTGTGTGGGTGGGTGAGGCAGGATTTCTATGAGTGGGCTACATAGTGAGCTGAAGGCCAGCCTAAACTACATAGTGAGAGCCTGCTTAGAAAAGCAAAAAGGCAGAGAAAAAAAAATCCCATGTCCAATTGTTTTATTTTTAGAATATGTCAGGAATGTGTACATTTCAGCTCCTATCAACCAAGTCTCAGTCACTATCATTTTTATTTATTTATTTATTGTTTGTTTGTTTATTTGGTACAGGATCTTTCTACATAACTTGGACTTATAGTGATCCTTCTGTTTCAGCCTCCCAAGCCAGCGATGCAATTACAGACATGCATCATCACACCTGGTTTTGGTGGCCGGCACAGCTTGCCTGGAGTCCCAGGGCTTGCATGGCATGCGGTACTGGGAATTGAACCGTGGTCCTTGTGCTTGCCAGGCAGGCACTTAGACCACTGAGCTGTCTCCCCAGCCCCCACCATCATTTTTTTTTTTTTGCCTTAACTACCACAGCAAGCAGCCTTTTATTTGACTCCCCATTTCTGTTTTTGTTTGAGATCAGGCTGGTCTTAAGCCCAGGGCTTTTGCACTGAGCTATAGTTTTTTTGTTGTTGTTGTTTTGTTTTTTGTCCTTTTGAGACAGGTTCTTGTTCAGTTGTTCAGGCTGGTCTCGAACTCAGTTTGTAGTCCGGGCTGGCCTCAAACTCGCAGTGATCCTCCTGCCTCAGTCTTGTAAGTGCTGAAATTATAGGCATATACCACCATGCCTGGCAAAAATGTTTTTTGAGAGAATCTTACTCAGTTGGTAAATTGTCCAGGCTGGTCTAAAACTTGAAATCCTTTTGCCTCAGCTTTCCGCAGTGCTGACTGTGGAACGTGGCCACCATGCCTAGCAGTTCCTGTTGCTTCCTCTGTCACAGACCTCCTTTGACTTCCCTTTGCATTCCTCATGGAATCTGAACCCCACTCCCAGCCGTCCTGAGTCTCTCATTTCTTCTTTCCCCTTTGTGCAGTAGCCCCCAGTTACCCTGGCTTTGTGTTCCTTAAGCGTGCTCTGGAGTCCTTACACCTGTTGCCCTCCGCCTAGGCGTTCTTGTACCAGCATGTTTGGCTTATTACTGTCTTTCAGATCTTTGCTCAGATAATCACCTTTTTGGAGAGGACTTTCCAGAACACTTTTCCAAAATATTTTCTTCCCAGTTACTCACTGTGTTTTCACTCTGTTTTTATTTTCTTTATTGTGTTTCATATTCTGTCTTCTGTTGTTATAACTGAATACCACAGGATGGGTAATATAGAAAATGTAGAAGTTTATTTAGTTCAGCATTTTATTTTATTTTTTTGGTATTTTTTTAGGAAAGGGTCTATAGGGTGTTCAGGTCTCACTACTAGATCGGACTGGGAGTGATCTGCCTGTTTACAGCCTCCCAAGTGCTGGGGTTACAGGTGTGCACCACCACTCACAGTCTCAATTGGCATCTCTGTGCACCCCAGGGGTGGGGCCAGCATGGCAAGCCCAGGGATCGAACCCTGGCCCTTGAGCCTGTTTGCAGACGATTTAATCCGCTGAGCTATTTGGCTGGCCCAGGTCAGCATTTTAGAGGCTGAGAAGTCTAAGACCATGGCAGCAGTGCATAGTGAGTTTCTTCCAGTATCATAATGTGGAGGATAACATGTGGTAGAACAGAGCAATTGTGCCAGAGGGAATATGCTTTTACAGTGAAGCCACATGCTCAGTAACCCATAATGTACTCAAGAAAGAGCACTCACCTGACCCAGGGACCTCCCCAAAGTCCCACTTCCAAGTACCAGCAACAAAAGTATAAAGGACAAAAAAACCCTTAGTATATGACTTTGGGGATTAAGTTTCCAATACATGAGTTCTGGAGGATACACTCAGACTATAGCTTTTTATTTGTCTTTCTGTATAGACTACCGGGCTAGTCTAATAAAGGAATTTAGCGCTTTACTCACTGTTGTGTCCCAAAGTAAGTACCTGTGAAATGTTTGCTGAACATTTATACAAATATTTAGGATGAAAAAGCTTCTCCAAAGTTAGTTCTGGCCAGTGTGAGGTCCTGAGTTTGATTTCCAGTACCAGAACAAATTCCCCCCAAAACACAAAGTTCTTCAGACTGGTAGTCATTACTGTGTTCATGTATAATGAATACTTTGGATATGAGGGAAAGGGGAAAAAAATCCTATTTTCCAATTTTTTCAATACTGGAGATTAAATGTAGGGTGCTTTGTAATGTTCACATTTTTAGAGTCAATAGGAGGGCCAGACAGATAGCTCATCACATTAAAGCTCCTGCTTCAGCAGAGCGCAGTTGCTGGGGTTTAATCTGTGGCATGCAGTGCCGGCCCTGCCCCTGGGGTGTGCTGAGAAGGGGATTGAGACTGGGTGTGGTGGTGTGTACTTGTAATCCCAGCTCTTGGGAGGCTGAACACAGGCTGATCACTGCGAGGTAGAACCTGTACTAAAATACAAAAATAAAGTCAATAGAAGTTTTTTTTTTTTTTTTTTTTTTTTTTTTTTTTAGATAAGGTCTCACTATGCAGTTTAGGCTGGCCTTGAATTTATGGCAGTTCTCCTGCCTCAGACTCCTCAGTACTGGGACTGTCGGTGTGCACCATCATGCCTGACTGGGAGGAGTTTCAGATAAAATTCTGCTTACAGTTATTTTATTATATTTGTATGAATAATCATGTAATTATTTTTTTCAAAGTAGCTTTTCAAAGTTAAATTCATTGGCAAATTTTGGAGAATATTTTATAAAATTGACACAGATCACTGTCTCAGATAGTTAAATTCTGTCAGGTTATTGAGAACAGGATGCTGATGTATGACTAAAAACGTAAAGTGCAGGATATTTACCAAGGTAAGTAATTGTAATTTCAACAGTCATTTAATTTCTGAGCTTCCTATCATTCATATATCCATTAGTAGCTTTGCAAGCTGCTCAGTCAAAGCAAAAGAACTTGTGATTTACCATGTTTACTTTCAGTCACACAACTAGACATATAAGCTAAAAATCCCATTTCCTGAGTTGCAAATATATTTTGTCCATTTTAAACATGACATTTAAACATGTCAAATATTTTACTTTTTTTTCTTTTTAAATAGTGCTGGAATGCTGGGCCTTTGCACTGAGCTCTATCCTCAGGCCTTTTATTTATTTGAAACAGGAACTTGCTGAATTGCCCAGGATGGGCTCAAATTTGTAACCCTCCTGCCTCAACCTCCCAGAGTGCTGGGATTACAGGAATATACTACCATGCCAGTGTAAATATTTTACTTTTGATATACATTTTCATAATTCAGGCTTGTGAATTTCATGATGTGCTGGTATTATTTGGCTTTGATTTGTTTCCAAATTGTAGAGATTTGAAATGTTCAGCAAACTCTGTTAGCCTCTCTTACTGATCTTGGCTTTAATAATCATGGCGTGAAGTTCATAAATTTAACTGTAATGTAGCAAATATATTTATTATATGTAAAATGCCATCATAATTAAGCCTTTATAGGTTGTCACTTAAATTCTGAAAAGATTGTGTTTGGGGCTAGAGAGGTAGCTCAGTGGCACAAATGTATGCCTGGCAAGTGCAAGGCTCTGAGTTGAATTCCCATAGCAAACTACCACTCCCTTAAAAAACAAAAAACAAAAAACAAAAACAGGAAGCTAGGCATGATGGCACACACTGGTAACCCAGCACTCAGGAGGCTGAGGCCAGTGGATTGCTAAGAGTTCAAGACCAGCCTGGGCTCCAAAATGAGCTCAAGACCAGCCTGAACTGCATAGCAAGGCCCTGTCTCAAAAAGACAAAATGAATAAATAAATAAAATAATACACCAAATAAAATTCCAATAAAAAGATTGTGTTACTCGTTCTTACACAGACATTGATTTTTAATATAGGTAGAAGACTTTTTGAATCTTTCTACAGAGCTGTCTGGATTTCATATTTGTATTGACAAAGGGACTTTTGATGCTGTGAGTCTTAATCCTGATAGTGCAATTGAGAAGAGGAAACAATATGTGAAATCCCTCTCCATGGTGTTGAAAGTAAAAGGCTTTTTCCTAATAACCTCGTGTAATTGGACCAAGGAAGAGTTGCTAAAGGAATTCAGTGAAGGTAAATGGCTGCATGGTGTTCCAGTTTGCACTTACCTTAGCTTTTTTAAGTAGGTTTTTTCCCCCCCTTGGTGTTTTAGTGTTTCACTTTCCTATTTGTAGGAATTGCCTGCTTTTCTTCCCTGTTAATGGCCATGGTAATAACTTTTAACTGTATATACAAAGCACAGAGAAATAACGTTGGTTGAGATCCAGAGCCCTTTTTAAAAATTTTCCCAGAAATCCTCGGACAGTTAAGTACTAAAATTTATGAGCCTGTAAAAAATCAAGTTTTTTTTTTATTTAAGCAGTATGATCTTTTATTTAAGCTATACAATCTGTTATTTACAGAATAAAAAAGCACATGTATTATGCTTTTCACTTCAGTGCACTGATTTAACTGACAAATCTTTAATAAATTGAAGCAGTATTTTTAAAAGCATTATGTGATGTTACATGGTGAGATTTTTTTTTTTCTTTTTTCTCTAGTATTGGGATTGAACTCTGGACATTTGTACTGAGCTATGTCTCTAGTCCTTTTTTATTTTGAGACAAGGTCCCACTAAGTTGCTAAGTTTCCTAGGCTAGGCTCAAACAAACTTGACTTCTGCATCAGCCTGTCAGAGTACTGGGATTACAGGTGTGGGATTACAGCTACTTTGATTACCATGCCCTACTGACATTTTCTATTTTCTAGATGTCTTGCTCTAGTGGTCATTTAGTTATTTAGGATTTATCTTGGAGAAGGATTATTTTGGATTTGTCTTGTTTTTAGCATATGTAGGACAGTTATTTTAAAAAATTAAATAAAATATAGGGAATGTTAAAAATTTTATCTGAGTTTCCTAATATTTTCTAATTCTTAAGGAAACTGTTTCCCTTTTCACCATTTTGGTGCCAACGTAGGCTTCTGTAGTGGTGGATGTACTAATTAGGAGCTTGTAAACATTGCAAGTCTGTAATCTATACACAGAATATTTTCAGTTCTCTGGTTGACTGCCTTGCATGTTTTAGGGAATATTTTTATCCGCCAATGTATTTGTAAAGTATATAGACATTTCTGGGCAAGTATTTTGAAAATGTTTAAGTATTTGCTAACTTTTGCCTTTGGATTCTTCTCAGATTAGCATGTATGTGTGTATGTATGTATTTTGGAAGACAGCAGGAGTTTTCAGGATGAAGTCATAAGTAAATGATAGGGCACTAAGTATTTGGTTAAATTCTGAAGCTCTGTTGTTACAAGCTGGGGGGATTTACCTTAAGAGAACGGTTTACTGCACACTGTTATTTATACCTATACTGTATGGGCTGCATCTTAGATTTTCTTTTTGGTATTAAGGGACCAGGCAGGTAGAACAGTTAAAGGTACCCCCTTGTGTGCCTTCAGTGGGTTTGAAAGGTTAAATAATGTAAAACTTGAAGTGTTTGAGGCTAGAAATGTGAGCTTGTGGCTTCATTACCATTGCCTCTGGAAAATTAGAATTATATGTGATTTATTATATTTTATGCCATTAATTTTATTATCTTCAACATTAAATTTGTTTCCTTTAGAACTGCTGAGGCCCCATATCAATAGTCTTTCCTTCTTCCGAAGCTTGACAGTTTTAATAAATGCTCAGAGTTGTACTGTGTTGGGCGAGTTCCTTTCCTGGTTTTTAAGTACAGGTGTTCTCTTTTACTCCTGGAACCAGCAGACAAAAACATATTTGTCTGTCTTTGATAATGAGGAACAGACTTTAGCCTGCTGTAGAGTGCTTAAAAGTGTGTCTGTGTCTGCAAACTGTTGAGTAAACTCTTTATGTTCAATTTTAGGACTAAATACAGAGTTAAAGTAAGTGAATGTTATAAGAGGAAATGTTAAAGAAATAATTATATACCTTCAGCGATATGTTTTTTAGTCATGAGTCTGTTAGAAAATGGTGTTTGGAGTTAGCTGCAGGACAGTAACTGTACCCAGCCATGCATCACTGTCCAAACCTTGTTACTTGCTACTCAGAATGGCTGCCACATTTTCTTCACCTTACTTGTTTTTTTTTTTTTTTTTTTGCGGAACTGGGGATTGAACTCAGATCCTTGCGTTTGCCAGTCAAGCACTTATCCTACTGAGCCATCTCCCCGGCCCGACCTTACTAATCTTTTAAGGTTCTTTGCTTTTCTTTCCTTGTTTGAAGTATATTCATAAGACTATTGGAGTAAATCTTGCATTTTTCCCATTATAGTGCTATTCATGAAGCATAAATATTATGTGCTGTAATTTGTTCAGGGAGCATCAACTTGAATCCGTTATCAGATATTATAGTGTTCTAGTTTAATGTTCAATTGGCTTAACTTTGTTACAAAGACAATTAAAACAACAATAACCTATTTTACTGCAGCTGTAATGCAGATTCATTATGAAAAAAGTTAAAATATTAATAAGCTTTTTACATAAGCATATAGACTAAAATTATTGAATTTATTTTTGGAGGGATAGGCTCTTGCTATAGAGTTCAAGCTGACCTTGAACTCACTATGTAGCTTTTCTCTTGTTGCTGAGACAAAATAGCTAAAACCCACAGCTAAGGAGGGAAAAGGGTTGTTTATCTCACAGCCTGTAGAGGTTTCAGTCCATAATTTGTTAGCGCCAAGGCAGGGTGGCCTGGCAGACAGGCATCAAAGGAGAAACAGTTCATGGTGGGCAGAAAGTAGCAAAGCAAGCAAGACACTAGAGAAGCTGCCTTCTATCCCTTATATTGTATCCAGTCTACCAGGATTAGGGTAGTGCCAAAGCAATTAGTGTACTGATTGAGTAATTACCCCCTCTTAATCCTAACACCCTTAATCCTAGCATTGCACTATGACTTGACTCACACTGTCTAGATTCAGTCACTTCTGAAAAAGGCCCACCTGTGACTGCATGAGGCTTTGAGAGGGCATTTAGACACAAGCCATAACACTGTGTAACCCACGCTGGCTTTGAACTTGAGGCGATCTTTCTGTTTCAACATTGTGAGTGCTGGGATTACTGGTGTGTGCCATCACACCTGGCTAAAGTCATTTGTTAACCATCAATGGAATACAACCATTGGTTAAGATTTTGGCTGGGCATGGTGGCATCTAGCTATAATCCCTCCATTCTGGAAGGCTGAGGCAGGAGACAAGTTTGAGCCCAGCCTGGCCAATTTAATGATTTAATGAGACCTTGTATCAAAATGAAAAGCATAAGTGGCAAGCTGGATTTGGTGGGGCATGCCTGTAGTCTTAGCACTTGAGGGGCTGAGGCAGGAGGATTGCCTCTAGTTTGAGGCCAGCCTGAGCTACATAGTGAACTGAAGACCAGCCGAACTACCCAGTAAGACCTTGTCTTTAAAAAAAAAAAAAAAGCACACACACACACACAAAAGCACAAAGGCTGGCCAGATAGCTCAGCGGACTAAAGCACCTCCTTAGGCAGAATGCAGTGGCTGGAGTTTGATCCCCCGCATGCCATACTGGCCCTGCTGAGATGGCTATTGAGACTGGGTGCGGTGGCGCATGCCTGTAATCCCAGCACTTGGGAGTCTGAAAACAGGAGTATCACTGTGAGTCTGATCTACACTGCGATCCTGTAGACCCTGTACTAAAATTAAAAAAGAAAAAACATAGGTGGGCATAGTGGCACATGTTTGTAATTCCACCACTCAGGAGGCTGAGGCAGGAGGATCACCATCATTTCAAGGCGAGCCTGGGCTATGTAGTAAAGTTGGTTTTTGAAAAACCCCAAAAATAAAAACATAAAAAATAAAGAAAAATAAAAATTGACTGAGATGTAGCTCAGAGCAAAGACCTTGGGTTCTTTCCCCAGTACCTTGTCCTTCCTCAAAAAGATTCTGGTGCGTTACATGCAGAAATATCACATAAATTCAGTAGGCTTAGGTTCAGGGACTTAAAGAATTAGTCCTGGAAAATTGACACTACTATATTGTATCTTGTAAATGTTCATTTTAAGCATATGTAAAATAAGCAAACAAATATGAGTAAAGAGGGCCGGCCAAATAGCTCATCAGATTAAAGGGCCTGCATCCAGGCACAGGGTGGGGGGTGGGGTGGTAGGGGGTTGTATCCCCCAGGGTCTACTGGCCCTGCCCCTGGGGCGTACTGAGCCAGGAATTGAGACTGGGTATGGTGGAGTGCTCCTGTAATTCCTGCTCTTGGGAGGCTGTAAACAGGTGGACCACTAGGAGTCCAGTATAATAGTGAGAACTTGAACACTGTAGAACCTTCCTCCCCCCCAAAAAAAATTGAATATAGGTATGTGTCCATGTACCGAAACAGTGGTTCCATTTTGCAACATTAAAGTATATCATTATTATTATTATTATTATCATTATTATTATTTTAAAGTATATCATTTATGATGCTTTCAATTACCTGTTCTTTGAGAAAGTTTTTTTTTTTTTTTTCCTTCTTTTTTGGTAGTATTAACGATTCTACCATGGAGCTACCACTTAGTCCCTCTTAAATTTTTTGTTTTGAGACAGGTCTTGCTAAGTTGCTTTAGCAGGCCTTGCGTTTGTGATCCTCCTGCTTGTACTTCTTGAATTACAGGTATGTGCCACTGCACTGAGTACATGATTTTTTTTTTTTTTTTGAGACAGGATCTTGTACTTGTGAAGATCTGGCTGCCTTGGCCTTCCAACTGCGGGGATTATAGGTGTGCTTCACCATGCCTGGTGATCTATTGTTTTTTTTTTTTTTTTAAATTTTATTTTTGAGACAGGTTTTACTATGCTGTTTAAGCTGGCCTTGAGCTCACTTTGTAGCCCAGGCTGGCTTTGAACTCTCAGTAGTCCTCCAGCCTCAGCAGTGAGTGCTGGGATTACTGGTGTGTGTCACCACACCTGGCTGGTAATCTGTCTTTTTTTTTTTGTGATCTGTTTTTAATGAGTATCTTAGTACTTATGTATTAAGATTTAGTGGGACTGGGGGAGATGGCTCAGTAGAATAAAAGCGCAAGGGCCTGAGTTCAATCCCCAGTTCTGAAAAGAGAGAGAGAGAGAGAGGGAGAGAGAGAGAGAGAGAGAGAGAGAGAGAGAGAGAGAGAGAGAGAGATTGATTTAGTGAAATTTGTTGATCATATTCATGGAGGCATGCATGCCTGTAATCCCAGCATTCTGGCACCTCAGGTAGGTTGATAGAGAGTTTAAAGCCAGTCTGGGCTGTATAGTCCAGTATGAATTGGAATATGTAATGACATAAAATATAAAAATCCAGTTGATACAAATATATAATAATTTAAATATTTTTTTCTTTTATATGCTTACAGCAGTTACTTGAACTCAAAGCAAGGCAACAGAAAAACAGTCCTCTCAAATTGTTATTCCTATCACTGAGGGAAAACAGTGGTTAACTTTTTTTATTTTATTTTTTTGTTTATTTTTTGTGGTGCTGGGAATCAAGCCCAGGGCATTGTACGTGCAAGGCAAGTGTTCTACCACTGAACTATACTCCCCATACTCTTTTGTTTTTAGAAACCAAAGTGATAAAATGTTGTATTTATTTACATGTTGTTTTAGAATTTAGGGAAACACCACATTGTTTTATTGGGATCTTTACAAATCACTGTGAGTTAGATAGGGGACTTTGGTGTCTGTAATTTCCTTGCTTAGAATTCAGGAGCCTACAGCGGATTAACGCATCTGCAAGCAAGCGCAGGGGCGAGGGCTTCGATCCCCGGACCTGTGTGCCAGCCCCACCCCCAGGGCATCTGAGAAGGCAATTGATACAGGGTGTGGTGGTGCACGTCTGTAATCCCAGCTCTTGGGAGGCTGTAAACAGGTGGATCACTATGAGTATGATCTAGTAGTGAGACCCTGAACACCCTGTAGACCCTTCCCTAAATACAAAAAAAAAAAAAAAATTCAGGAGCCTAGGGCAGCATCTCAGTAAGCAGTAAGCCTCACAGTTGAACCCAGGACATTTGAATCCAAGTCAGTTTTGTTTTGTTTTTTAATAACCATCCTGTGCTACACTGGAAGTTATTAGTTTCTTTTTTTTCCCCAAGACTGTTTACTGGTTCAATTTGGGTTTTGAACTTTGCTACAAATCATCATCATCATCATCATCATTATATTATTATTATTATTATTATTATTATTATTATTATTATTTGGTGGTGAGCTCAGCCCAACCTGGGCATGGGGCTGGCGTGACATGTTGTGGCAGGAATCGAACCATGATCTCTGTGCTTTCCTAAGCTTGCCTAAGCAGGCTCTTTAGTCCGCTGAGCTATCTAAAACGTCCATAAAATTTTACTATTTTAATGACTTTTTAAATGTGTAATTCAGGGCCCAAGGGAGATAGCTAAGTAGAATAAGTGGTTGCCTGGCAAGCTCAAGGGCCTGAGTTCAATCCCCATTTGGGGGGGGGAAGTGTGTAATTCAGAGACATAATAAGTACACTCACATCATTGTCCAGTTATCCTCACCATCCATCTCCAGAATGTTTTCATCCTCTACAATTTTTTTTTTTTGTATTTTAGTACAGGGTCTGCAGGGTCTCACTTGGACTCCTACTGATCTACCTGTGTTCACCCTCCCAAGAGCTGGGATTATGGTGTGCGCCACCATGCCAAGTCTTAATCACTGCCTCAGTGCACCCTGGGGGCCGGCCAGCAAGGCACTCCGGGGATCAAACCCTGGCCACTGCGCTCTGTCTAAGCAGGCACTTTAGTCCACTGAGCTATTACAAATTCATTTTTGTTTCCAGGTTTTTAAACTTTTTTGCCTTCAACATTTTTATATGTGTGATATGGATTGGTTGAATTCCTGTAATAAAACCTTATGAAAATTAGTGTGCCTGGCAGTGTTAAGAACTGAACACATGATAATTGTTTCCTATAAAGAGGGCAGTGAAATAGGCTAGGAGAGATGCAGGTGAAAGGGATGGTAAACAGGAAGTGGACAGAATAGCAGATTAAGAGGGAAAGTCTTTTTTGCAGTTTGTTTTCAGTTATCTGTTCCTGCTTCATTTCAAAATCTTTGTTGGATTTGCACATACATGCCATGCACTCATAGTAGAGCTAGGAATCGTGATATTCAGTCACTATTTGGAGTTTGAAATCAGTTTTATAAAGAATTTAAAAATAAATGTTAGGGAGTCATGATGCTGTGTAATGAGGATAAGTTTGAGACCAGCCTGGGCAATTTAGTGAGACTGTCTCAATATTAAAAAAGTAAAGCAGTGGGGATGTAGTTTAATGGTAGAGGGCTTTTCTAGTATGTATGTGGCATGTGTGAGGCTCTATGTTTGCAAAAAAAGTGAGAAGTACAGTGTTATTACAAATTTACCTTAGTTGAGATTCAGTACCTAATTAAAAGTATTTTAATTTTGTCCATCAGGATTTGAACTTTTTGAAGAGCTGTCAACACCGACATTCAGCTTTGGAGGCAAATCTGGAAACAGTGTAGCAGCGTTGGTTTTCCAGAAAAAGTGAAACTCTTCTTGGACAAATTCAGGTAGCTTTTTAAAAGAAGCTACACGGCAACATAAACCTGATGCAGAAAGTACAGATGCAAATAAAATGCTTAGTGAGTACACAGGGTACACTTAGTGACTCATTATGCTGGGATGGTGAAGAAAAATCATGAGTATGCAAGTGGTTGCTCTTAAGAGATTGATGAAGAATAATTTTGTTTGCATTTATACTTTGAAATGTAAATATTTTTCCTTTTTCCTTTGTTCCCCTTAAAACAGTTTTCTGTAGTTACTAAACAGTTATTTGTATTTCAGTAAAGTTGAATTTAGTGTAGCTATTTAGGAAGATTTCATCAAACTCTTCGACTGCCAGAATGCCAAAGCAAGTTTCTTAGTGTTCTATTAGAATATAAAACATAATAAAAAAAATACTATTTTGGGTTGCATGGTGGTTACTTTTAAAAATAATGTATGTATTTATATATATATATATTTTTTTTAATTTTATTTGTGTGTGTGTGTGTGTGTGTGTGTGTGTGGCCAGCTCAGCCCACCAGGGGGCAGGGCTGGCTGGCATGTGGTGCTGGGGGATTGAACCGTGGTCCCTCTGATTTGCTAAGCTTGTTCTAAGTAGGTGCTTTAGACCACTGAGCCATCTCACCAGCCCCTATATTTTTAAAATGTATTTGGTTGCTACAGGGTCTCACTACACAGCTCAGACTCAATGATCCTCCTGTTTTCAGCCTTCCCAGCGCTGGGATTACAGGAATGCACTACCACGCCCGGACTGGTGCTCAGCCAGTGTGGGAGTGGTGCTGGCTCAGCGTGTGGTTCTGGGCATGGAACCGTGCTCCCTGTGCTTGTTTAAGCAGGCACTTTAGTCTGCTGAGCTATCTCACCAGCCCTAAAAATAATTTAAAAAGTGTGAACAACTTCCTGACCTTTACATATGTAATTAGACAAAATCATAGAAATATGTCTCTTGATCAGGAAATATTTATTGCCAGGCTTGGTGGCACACATCTGTAATCTGTCATTTGGGGTTTTCAGGCAGGAGGATCACAAGCTGAGGCCAACTTGGACTACATAGCACAATCCTGTGTCAAAAAACAAATCAAATCAAGACGAAAATAATTGGATTTTGTCATTCTTCTGGGAAAGGATGGTGTCAATTATATAAACTGTCAGGGCCATAGAGGCACATGTTGCAGTTAAGGGCTCATTTAGCAGGACAGCGAGCTTTTTTAGCTTGGTGGCATAGTGTTTAGCATGTACCCGAAGCCTTTGGTTTAACCCCCAAGTATTGGAACAACAGAAACAACAACAAAGCTACTACTTAATGCCATTTTGCATTGGGGTTGTGGGGTTTTTTGGGGTGGGGTGGGGAGGTCTTTTTGAGACAGGGCCTTGCGATGTAGTTCAGGCTGGCCTTGTGCTCCCTTTGTAACCCAGGCTGGTCTCCAACTCACAATGGTCCTTCTGCCTCAGCCTCCCCAGTGCTAGGATTACAAGCATGTGCCACCACGCCCAGGCTGGCGTTGTGTTGTAACATTGGAGTCATAATGCAAAGTTTTTAGAAGTTTATGTAAGTCTGTATAACTTGATGCTTTTTTTTTTTTTTTAGCTTTTGGGCCTATTGGGTTATAAAACTAACAATTTTTATTATTTTTTTTCCATAATTTTATTGATAAACAAATAGCAATGAGACAGTTTCAAATCAAATCGCTAGGACAGTTTCAATAACTAACACACTGCATACATTCTTCAACAATTTTTATTATTGTTTTTATTTATTTTTGTGTTTTAGGGAAGGGTCTACTGGGTGTTCAGGGCTCTCACTGCTAGATTGGACTTGTAGTGATCTGCCTGTTTACAGCCTCCCAGGAGCTGGGATTACAGATGCGCGCCACCATGCCCAGTCTCAATTGCTGTCACAGCACACCCCAGGGGTGGGGCCGCACAGCAGGCCAGGTGATCGAACTCCCAGCCCCTGCACCTGCGTGCATGCGCTTTAATCCGCTGAGCTATTTGGCAATCCACAATTTTTATTATTCAGTAAATGAATAATTAAGTACTCTTTTTTCTTTTTTGAAGGTAAGGAGTAAGCTGAATCTTAGATCAACACTAAACAGTTATATTATTATTTATCTTGAGCAGGATAGCTGAAGATATTTTAGATGAACTTTTAGACAAAAAGCACTTTAGGGAAGCATAGTTTATAAAGTATAAAAAGTAAGAAATTACTCCAAAGTATATCCAGTGTAAACATCTTAAAAATTGTGTAGGTTTTATGAGACATAGGCTCTTAAACTGTAGGAACAATAGTTTTATAATCTATTGAGGAAATCTAGTTTTTGGGTTTTTTTACATTAGTCTTTGATTTTAAATATAATAAGTAATCTTTTAGAGTTTTGAGTGGCTTTGTATATATATATGCTATGTTAAAGCATTAATCCAACAAAATAGGTTTTCTACACGTGACTAGACTGAGACATTGAATTTGATTCACAGAAAACTCAGAATGGATCTTTGTTTTAAAAAATAGCTGTTTGAGACCCTGGTAGGCATGTTTGTTCCATTTCAAAAGGTAAAGGCTTTTTTATTTTTGTGTTTGAATCATGGAGTCGTTGGTTTGTTAGGATAGGGAATTACCATTCTTATCACTTTAATTCTGCTAGAAGGCAGGTTCTTAAGGATTGAAATAAGAATAAATGGAAAGTACAACATGTTAATATGAAATTAGTATTTTCAAATAATACTAAGATGTTAGGAACCAGGACATTAAATGTCACCAGTTAATAAACCATAAATGAGTTATTATTAAACTTAGTTGTTAAATCTTATGCATTGTGGGCAACTATGAACAAAATTATAAGAAGAGCAGTGAGTTAGGTAATGAATGCTGTTTCTGTGGATAAGAAGTTGGAATCGTAATTATATTTAATTAAAAGGCACTTATTTTGAGGAAACTTGTTTGAAATGCAAACGAGATTTCTCTGAGAAGCCTGCTCCTAATTGTTGCTTTTTATGATGATGTTATTGCTGTGTAACAGGCCACTTCTACGTATAGGAAGTATGTATGTATGTATGTATGTATGTATGTATGCAAGTCCCAAGGGAATCGAAGCTTGAATGTGTGGGCTGTACTGCAAATTAATGAAGAGAGAGTTTTAGGGCTGGAGAGATAGCTCAGTGGCATAAGCATCTGCCTGGCAGGCACAGAGTCCTAGTCCCTGGTACCAAAAAAAAAAAGCCAACCAATCAACCAAACAAACAAAAAGCACTTATAGAGAGTTTATTTATTTATTTATTTATTTAGTGTGTGTGTGTGTGTGTGTGTGTGTGTGTGTG